GCTTGCTTCATTTCTACATTTTTTTTATCTACATAACTACACAGTCAGAAAAGATACAATCTAAAAGTTATAGAACACAGGAGGAAATGGTCCTTTGTAATGATTTTTCTGTTCAAATTGTTTCAAATGTCATGGTACACACTAATACACACAGACAGTATTCCAATATTTTCACTGGTTTTTGTATTTGAAGATTAAAAGGTGTTCAAGCTGTGTGTTAAGTCATACCAAAGAGTTATTCCTGAAAACAAACTGAGCAATGAGATGGTGGAACAATTCACCCACCTTTCAACTGTATTGTGGCAGCACAAAGAGCACAGTAGGAAAAAAGCAAAGCAGCTCTGCAGCCACCTTTGCAAAATAGCTAATAAAGTTGCAAGTTAGAAGGAAGGCAAGAGCTATTTGAGGAAAATGAACTTTCAAAAACAAATAACCTTAGTTAAGTCTAATCTTAAACATAACATGGTCCATTGATGCTTGGCTTAGTAGGTTGGAAGTAGGTTGAAGTGACAGCTTTGAAGTAGGTTGGAATGACAGCTCTTGGAATTCTTAGCTACCAGCACCCAAAAACCATAGACAAACACATCTGGAGCCCATCATGTTGAAGAAAAATGTAGAAGAGACTCTTGTGGGCTGCTTTGGAGACGTTAGCAGCACTCAGCTGACCTGGAGCAATATCAGAAGCTGCATGGAGGTGTCCCTGGAGTTACCAAGAAATAAGCTGTAGTGAGATACACGAAGGTAGTCCTGGTTTCACAACCACTTGTTCGTCAGTGAAGGATCCTTGGTGCTCTCTGAGCTTGGCTGTTTTCTTATACCTGTTTTGTTAGCCAAATTAGGTAACGCCATCAGTGCTAGTAGGGAATGGAGTTTCCATTGGAAGGTAGGGACTGAGCTGAATGAGTGGTAGTTACAATTAGTCCTCAAAGTTCCAGTTGCCCCAGCACTCTTTGGTACCTGATCACAGCCTGAGCACTTGGCAACCAGCTGCCACTTAAAACAGTTGCAGTGTTCCATAAACACATGATCTCCATGTGCAATCTTCCCTGCTGACTTCCTAATATCAGTCAATTGGGAAACTGGCATAGGTCACAGATCACTCTGGTGTCTTCCACCAGCAGCAAGTACACCCACCCCACCATGCTTGTGCCAGAGCCACCCCAAGCCCTGCCATCTTTACGCTGTATCTTTTCTCTTGCATGCCCTCCTGCACCTTGAAGCAACCACTTACCCATCAACTTGTGAGCTGCTTAGGGCTTTGAATTTCCTGCTGTCTTCCCCACTGACTTGGTTATTGGAAGCTGGCAGAAGTTGCAAGGAGGTCAGTAACCTACAAACCTTGCTTAACAATGGCTATGGAGAATGCTGGGGTTGCCACTGCTAAGTGATGCTGTCATATGACATTGTGATTTATGACTGCATTGGTTAGTGATGGAAATTCTGGTCCCAGTTACCATTGTTAATCAAGGACTACTTGTAGGTTTACACACACACACACACAATTACTTCTTTATAAATTTCAACATCTATTGTGCTGCAAAATAACACAGGAAGTGAGGGGTAGGTTACATTTTATGTGCACATGATTCAGTGGAGGACAAAGAGGAAAACATCATTGGTGGAGTTTAAAACTGGCAAGAACTATTTTTTCACAGCACAAGATAGCTCTCTATTAACACTTGGCTGCCATCTAATGGCCAACAAAGTCCTATCATTCTGAGAAAGTTTGTGCTGAAATGAAATTGAAGGCAAGATGCAAAAGTCTTGTATTTACAGGTGAAAGTTGAAAAATTAGAATATCGTGCAAAAGTTCATTTATTTCAGTAATGCAACTTAAAAGGTGAAACTAATATATGAGATAGATTAATTACATGCAAAGCAAGATAGTTCAAGCCATGATGTTTCATAATTGAGATGAGTATGGTTTACAGCTCATGAAAACCTCAAATCCACAATCTCAGAAAATTAGAATATTGTGAAAAGGTTTAATATTCTAGGCTCAAAGTGTCCCACTCTAATCACCTAATTAAGTCATAACACCTGCAAAGGGTTCCTGGGCCTTTAAATGGTCTCTCAGTCTGGTTCAGTAGGAATCACAATCATGGGAAAGACAGCTGACCTGACAGTTGTGCAGAAAACCTCATTGACACCCTCCATAAGGAGGGAAAGCCTCAAAAGGTAATTGCAAAAGAAGTTGGATGTTCCCAAAGTGCTGTACCACAGCATATTATTAGAAAGTTATGTGGAAGGGGAAACTGTGGAAGAGAAAGGTGCATAAGCAGCAGGGATGACCCCAGCCTGGAGAGGATTGTCAGGAAAAGGCCATTCAAAAGTGTTGGGGACTTTCACAAGGAGTGGACTGAGGCTGGAGTCAGTGCATCAAGAGCCACCACACACAGACAGATCCTGAACATGGGCTTCAAATGTCGGATTCCTCTTGTCAAGCTGCTCCTGAACAAACGTCAGAAGCATCTTACCTGGGCTAAAGAAAAACAGAACTAGTCTTTTGCTCAGTGGTCCAAAGACCTCTTTTCTGATGAGAGCAACTTTTGCATCTCATTTGGAAACCAAGGACCCAGAGTCTGGAGGAAGAATGGAGAGGCACACACTGCAAGATGCTTGACGTCCAGTGTGAAGTTTCCACAGTCTGTGTTGATTTGGGGAGCCATGTCATCTGCTGGTGTTGGTCCACTGTGCTTCATTAAGCACAGGGTCAACACAGCCATTCTACCAGAAGATTTTGGAGCACTTCATGCTTCCTTCCGCAGACGAGCTTTATGGGGATGCCGACTTCATTTTCCAGGACTTGGCACCTGCCCACACTGCCAAAAGCACCAAAACCTGGTTCAATGACTGTGGGATTACTTTGCTTGATTGGCCAGCAAACCCGCCTGACCTGAACCCCATAGAGAATCTATGGGGCATTGCCAAGAGAAAGATGAGAGACATGAGACCGAACCATGCAGAAGAGCTGAAGGCCGCTAATGAAGCATCCTGGTCTTCCATAACACCTCAGCAGTGCCACAGGCTGATAGCTTCCATGCCAAGCCGCATTGAGGCAGTAATTGCTGCAAAAGGGGCCCAAATTAAGTACTGTATATGTATGCATGCTTATACTTTTCAGAGGTCCGATATTGTTCTATGTACAATTCTTCTTTTATTGATTGCATGTAATATTCTAATTTTCTGAGATTGTGGATTTGGGGTTTTCATGAGCTGTAAACCATACTCATCTCAATTATGACACATCATGGCTTGAACTATCTTCCTTTGCATGTAATGAGTCTATCTCATATATCAGTTTCACCTTTTAAGTTGCATTACTGAAATAAATGAACTTTTGCATGATATTCTAATTTTTCGAGTTTCACCTATACAGCTGTAGTCAGAGGATAACTAGAATCTGAGGGACACTCCCAGCACCTCTGCCTTCCTACTAGGCCAGTGCAACAAACATGATCTTGTATCCTAAAAAGGTCTTAATTCTAAAAAATCTCTCCAAGGACACTATTTCTGCAATGAACTGTAATTTTATATATTAAAAATTATATATTGCTTTGCAGATACCACTCTTTTGCGTATATGAACTAATGCAGGATATCTGTAGTAAAACTTAAAAGGTATGTGTGGGGAAATACTAATACCATGCTCTTTTTAACAAAAAGATGTCTGTGATGATCATCTATGCTCCTGCTCACTGCAGGAAATACAGGTAGAATACAGCTAGTCCTTGGATTAGAATGGCAATTGGAATTTCCATTGCTAAGTGATGCAGTCATAATGCATGACATCATGAACCATATCACTTAGCGACAGAAATCTCAGTACTCCCAGATGACAATGTAACCCCAGGACCACACAGGTTAAGCAGGTAGAGGCAGGAATCCCAGATTTGAAGTAGTAGTTCAGCGGGTGTGTAAATGCTGCAGAAGGGTTGTTTGGATAGGCTCTGCAGAGCGCAGGTGGGCAAAAAAGCAGGTGTGACTTTTGACTTCCTGCCAGATTCCCCATTGACTTTGCTTGAGAGAAGCAAGCAGTGAACATTGGAAATCACAATTGTGGCTAGCTGAAACACTGTAATTACAAGCTGGGCACTATGTGCCTGTAATTCAGTCATGTGACTGCAGGGATAATAAAAACAGCCAGAAATCTAAGGACCAGACTTAAGTCCCCCTTGTTCAGCACTGTTGTAACTCTGAACAGTCACTAATAAAGAATGACAATAACAGAACAGTGCTTGTAACCCGAGGACTACCTGTGCATATCAGATCAAAAGACCACACTGGAAAAACTGTTCCTTTGTCAGTGGTTCTACCGGTCTCCCCCACTACTTTTTACCAAACCTTTTAGCTGGGGAGTTTAGGAACAGAACTTAGAAATGTATGTATGCAAAGTATACATTCTATCGCTAGGCTATGTTGTATCCAGAGATAAGACAATGCAATCCTCTGCTGAAATGGTTAGTCAAATTTATAAACTGCCAACTCTCCATAAATCCATCATAACTTTCATTTCTATGTCAGAGCCTTCATCCAAACTAACCCTTAATTCTGCAGAAGGTGCTTGGGAAACCACAATGATCAAGTGCAAGCTGTTATAGAAAAGAAACATGAGAATCCGCAATACAGAATTACTGAGTTTCTTTAATTTTTAATAATGAGTGAAGAATTTAAAACCCAGAATTATTACCAGAATCAATTGGTGTACGCTGTAATGCTTTAGAAAGCAAGATGCCTTCAGTTAATGTCATAGCCCACTCTATGGTTATCACCTTAACCAATATACATAACAGCTTTAAGTATCAATTAGGTCATATTGTACCAGAAAGAAAATGGAACACCCACTCCCTAGTATATGTGTCTATAGTAGACACAAGGAGGGCAAGTAATGGAACATGTTGTGGTATGAACCATGTGATTCATATATGTTCTTTGGTGGCCTGGTTTCCTTCTACCCCGAACTCTTCCAAACGTAATTGCTTTCTCCAGTGAATTCCCCCAAATTTTGAGAGAATGCTAACCAGTGTAATCAACCTACTTTTACTTCGATGTAAGAAATAGGGATAGAATGTAAACTAGTACTTAATCTTAACAATCAAACAAGGTTGGCTGGGGAAATTCTGGGAGTCCTCAGAATTTAGGTTGCTGAAACTGATAAACATTGATGTAGACGTAAGAGTGTTCATATTTACAAATAATTTTTGACCCACAGGTAACAGGGTAAACTTTATCAGAAGTAGAAAGTACTTGATCACATTAGTAGAAATGTTTGGAATTATATACACATTTTTTGATATTGCTTTGCTTTGTAGTATTATTGTAGCTTCCTGGCTACTTATCACTAGGTAAGGTTGGAATAGGGCAGAAAAGCAATTTAGTTTGTCTGGCTAAGTTGCTGCAATAAAACCCTGAAACTGAAAATTTCCTTTACTTTGCTGTGCTAATAAAAAAATAGAAGATTCCCAGAAGGTATCTTGAGTGCTGTGACTTGGATCAACCTCCCACATGCTCATAACAAAGTCATTTTATTAAAATTACATGTCAGTGTGTAACAATTTCTAGCCTGGCAAAGGAAATAGTGCAACTGAACAGAAATTTTATTTTACAGTACTTGTAATTATTTAATCTAATTCCATAACTAGTAAACTGATCAGTGACACACTATAACCATTCTTTAAACTGAAGAACATTAAACAGAATATTAATTTAAAACATATTTAATTTAAATTAAATATGATTTACAATAAACATTTTCTTTTACGAGTACTGCAATTTCCTTTTATTGTCCTCCCAACCTGATGTATCATGGAAAGCTCTACAGGCGACATGCCAGCATTATATGGATATCACTAAAAATATCTGTGACTATCATATCTTCCACAACAGTAGTCTGAGCAGAACATGTACCGCAAACAAACAGCTTTATGTTGACAGAGAATAGCATTTCATGGTCTTTTAAGTTCCAGCAATAAGTCTGAACCTAAAAGTTCCTGCATGTGAAGCTTTTACTCTTTTGGTGGCTCTGATTGTATTTCCCAGCAATATTTTATGTACAAAATATTTTACATATTTTATATACAAAGATCTGGCTATATCATATGCTTTTTCCAAATGCATTCCTCAAGGCATACATTACTGGGATATTCTGGAAAACAGCTGACCCACCAACTAGGAACATACAACAGGGTGTCTGCCATGCTGTATTTCAGAAGAACAAAAAACTGTTTCAGCAGGATTCATACAATAGGGCTGAACACATGAATGCACAGGCTACAAACTTGCAGATCAAAGAGAATGGAAAGGAGAGAACTATTCCACAAGTATAGTATCAATGCTCTCTTGAGAGAGGTCAGGATCCAATGCGTTTTGTGACTCCACCTGAGCTTGTGAGAGAGTGCCACTTTTCACCACACTTGGGATCCAATTGTCACCATATGGCTGAAACTTGACAGCTGCCGTGTTGCCAACCCGCTGGTATCGGGCAAATTTGAAGTGTTTACCTTTGTGCGTATACATGTGTTCAAGAAGCTGGTTTTTTCGGAGAAATTTGTGACCACAAATAGTGCAGCTGATCTTTCTTTTCCGTGAAAAGGAAAAATTACAGTTTAATTCCACAGGTTCTGTATCCTTGGACACCAGTGACAGCTGGCCAATTGGCAGCGCTTCTAGGTTGGGGTGGCTGGGATATTCTGAGTAGTGCTCATTTTCTTTCTGAAGGAAGGAACTGAGTCGGTGGCTTTCAGTAGCTTCACAGTTTTCACTGAGTGGCTGCAGTTGGCTAAGGTTATTGCTTTCCAGGATGGAGGTGGGAACCCTGAAGGGCAATGATCCTGACACATGAGTAAACAGGTGTTCACATAAATTGTTCCTGGATTCAAAATGTTCCCCACAGTACTGGCATAAATGAACTTTGACGTTTTCTTTGGAAAAGGCTGGACTCCTGAGATTTGGGGAGGATGATGTGTGACTCTGAGACACAACTGGCTCTGCGTCAGTCTTCTCTTGTTTTATAGTCACAGGTGGATTTGTAGCCTCCTCTGGTGGTTTTCCAGCTGTCTTGGTAGAAGGATGGGAAACCTGCTGATCCAAAGACCCATCATCCAACCCAATTGCCAGAGATAGCTGGAGCTGAGGATGATCTCCCTGATTAGTGGGTCTACTACCAATATTGGTTAAATTTTCCTTTGCTTGGAGATTCTCCTTCATAGCCTTATGTGTGGTTGAGATCTGAATCCCATAAAGGTTTGAAGACTGCACAACCTCTGGAGAAAGCATCTGGTTCATTTCAATTGCCATGCGAGAAAGATAGTCAGCATGCAGGAAACGGATGCCTTCTTCTAGTCGTGTATGACTGACCATCTGTTTAGGTCCTTTGCCGGTGTACATTATATGAAGCAAGTAGCTGAATATGTCAGGTTGGATATCAGTGGGCTGAATCTTTATGCATTCACTGCTTGAAACAAAAGTGAGAGTTAAGTAAGAACATCATGGTTAAATCTCTGTTCGTTGAAGGATGAAGACAAGCATATTCAGTATGTCTCAAAGGAGCTTTAAGAATGAATATGTTAATTAAGATATATAATTTAAAGGATTCGGAGGCCCTTCTATAAATGCATAAAATGGAATTCCAAAGTCATATATAGATGCATGAAATGTAAAAGATATTAGGAAAAGTTTCGGTTGTGAAAATATGTTAAAACATCACTGCATATCTAAGAACAAAAGCTGGCAGATACTCTAGGCCAGGGATCGGCAATCCATGGCTCTGGAGCCACATGTGGCTCTTTCATCCCTCTGCTGCAGCTCCCTGTCGCCAGTTGGTAAAAGGAAAAAGGATGCTGTGCTAGGAGGACTATATGGTGGGGAAACCAGACTTCCGGTCGACTCCAGAATTAAACAGGGCTTCTGGTTAGGACCTTTGGGGCTCTTTTGAGTGTTTAAGGTTGCCAACCCCTGCTCTAGCCTAACTTACATACAAATGGTTGTTATGCATTCTTCCTGGCTTGAGACTGCAAGAACAGTGTTATCTGGAAACTGCGGCCACCATCCTGACTTCTCCCTAGTGACACCCATGAGGGAAGTATGTTGTTTTGAAAACTACTCCCCATTCCTGCATTGCTCTTAACAGCTCTCAGGAATGAAGCTACTAGAAGTGTTTCCCTCACTCAAGAGTGGTGACGTGCTGCTGCTAGGAGTAACAGCAGTGCTGTCCTCTGAATATAACAGATGAGAAAGGAAAGCTCGGTTACTTCTTCTTGTTGTCTCAAAAGCCAGATAACCCAACTCATAAAATTTAGCACCCACAAAGGATTATTTGTAATTGTGAAGAGGGAGGGAGATTCACACCTAGTACACTGATGGACAGAAGAAAGCTTACATTTCTTAAAAGTTACAACTCCCTGCCCAACTTCTCTCACCACCTCCTTGCTCCCTTTGCTGAGTTTCCTCCCAGACTAAATCAAAGATAACATCCCTGTTTTCAGTTAAAGGAAGAGAGGAAAGTTGACAAGTCTCTCCAATAGGAACACTGAGCTTGTGGAAGATTTTCTATGAAGTTGACATTTTCCAAGCAATAAACAAACACCAAATATGCTTGTCCTCATTGCAACCAAAACATAAGTGATTACAGAATTGCACAGTCCTATGACTGGATGGGAGAAGACACATCCAGCAGTGGGACCCTCCAATAACTCTTCTGCTATGAAACAGAACCTTCTCATATTTTCTGTTATATAAATGTATCCTTTAAATTAATATTTTCAAAACTTGGCAATTTTAAGATGTGTGGACTTTATTTCCCAGAATTTTCCCATTCACACATTCTAAAGTTGCCAAGTTTAAGAAATGCTCCTTTAAACCAATATAATAATTAAAATGAAAATCATCTTGTCCATCACTAAAATGATCCCTTTTATCTGAGCTCTTGATTATTTTGCAAGTCATTTGGAGGATAAAGAGATACATTATTTGAAGTCATGCCCACTAGGAATTTCCATGATATATGTAGAAGCCAGCAAATAAAATGCTAAAAATCACATGAGAACAATTATTTCTGAAGCTCCCATCAAAATGTCAACATGAGTCTTAAATGTTCTTCAAAAAAGGACACTGACTTACCTTGTCTGATGAATGAATATCATCTTAAAATAGTTGGAAAAAGCAGCCAGGACAGCTCGATGAGCTTTGAAGTAAACATCTCCAATTGCAACTGTGCAGTCACAAAGAAAGCCGAATTCTCGCTGCATGTTGAGTTGTTGCAGGAGGATCAGGCTGTGGCTTGCTGTATCCATTGTGTTTCTAGGAGACAAAAGAAATTCTCTCAAGGAACATGCTAACTTCAGGGCAGGCAACTGCAGGAAGGCCTGCAGTCTACTGCAAAACACATTACATCAGGTATCCATCTTGGCCCAGACAATCTTTCAGAGGCCAAAGAAGAGTTAGGGTTATATTCACTGAAGCAATGAAGTAAACTGGGTGATATGGGTTTTGTACTTCCTTTTGAATGGGGAAATGTCTATGAAGAGTCTCAATCATCCAGGTCATAGTTGTCTCAAATATTTTTTTTTTAAGCTTCATCAGTTGTACTGGATGGTGGGGAAGTCACCAGTACAATAGGTATCCTTCCATCTCCTCTACCATCCAATGCAACTGATGAAGCTTCCTGGATGAGAAGCAAGGTGTCTTTTTCTTCTTCCTCAATAAAATAAAATAAAATCAGTCCAGTTGCTTTTTCAAAACCACCTTTGAGACAACTATGACCTGGATGACTGAGAGTCTAAATAGATGTTTAGCCATACATTTTGGGATGAGCATTCTTTTGAATGGGGACACTTTTACAAATTTAAATATTGGTGAAATATTGCAGTGCTTAGTTTTCTTATTTCCTATCTACCAACATTAAGGCAGGAGGAGGTTTTTAATTTTTTGTAAATTTTATTAGTTTTTAAAGACAAACATAAACAAACAAAACATAAAAACATCACTTTCTTCCATAAGTGTACAAGCAGTGTGCCAGTTGGTTTACAAATTTTTTGTGTGCATCCATTTCATAGTCTTCAGTTAGTTACATTGCATAATAGCTCATATTATCTATCAAAAATTGAATACTGTAGTATCACTATTAATCAATCATTTGACAGTAATTTTATTCCTTCATATTTTGCGAGATAACCATAGTTTACTTAATTTATTTTATAACAATTCATATAATCCTTTCAAATCTATCCTAAAAACCTTTTGTAGGTATAATAAAAAAAAGAAAAAATACATCTTTATATATTTATTATTTTCTAAAGTTCTAAATATTTCATTATTGTATTTTATTATCTAACCACTGATAGAAAAGGTCCCAAATTTTATAAAATGGTTTATCCTCTTGTTCTCTAATTTCAAATGTCAATCTACTCATTTCAGCACATTCCAATATTTTCTTAACGATTTCCAAGGCAGGAGGAGGTTTTGAGGACCACAGTGAAGGACATTAAGAGATCAGAGGAAGCCCCAGGGCCACAAATTGTCCACTTCTGCCCTAACTGGTGATGGTAGGATTTTAAGGGAGAAGATGGTCTGGGTGACATCTTTTTTCATATAATGGTGGCCATTATATATATTATATATTATTATATAATGGTGGCCATTATAGGAAGACTTAACCTGGATAACTGGGCAACAGATTTGGGTGTAACATACCATTCAAGCTAATGTTGGCTGAGCTGTCCAACAGAGGACAAAAACAAGGATGTGGGCATTCCCTTCTGGCTGAGTACATTTTTACATTTCTTTCCTTCTGTTAAGTCAGGATCTGGGAAAGAATAGGAGCCTTGTAATTTATAGCTTTTTCTGGAACTCTCCCTGCCACCATTCCTTTATTTCCTTTCCCCCATTAGGAAAACTTATATTGGAGACTGGAAAAGTTTTCCACTACTACATTTCCTACTCTGACAGTGAGAGATCTTGAAAGAGGAAATGTTATTTATTACTTTGCTGGATTTCTGTGCTACTTCATTCCTGTACCTCTAACTGATATAAAGTCATAAAAAATTAAAACAGTGTATAATTCAATGTGTAATTTCAAAACAGAAACAGCACCATTCACCAGGAGAGTCAGACCTTAATACCTGCCACATGCTCTCTCAAGGGGCCATGTTTTCATGGACCAGCAATAGCTCAACTGCAAGAGGATGTTTGGATGTGAAAAGGCTAAAATCAAAAATTCAGGGTCTCTGAAGATGGACTCCCCTTGGGAGCAGGATCTCCACAAGCCCTCTCTTATCTCACTGGATGGGCTGATTCACTTTGGAGTAGATGCTCTTGAAGATATCCAGGTCAAATCATGTAGGTGACAACCAGAACCTTGAATTGTACCTCAGAAGTTAACCAGCAGCCAATGCTTCTCCGTGAATAGAACTGTTCCGTGGATAAATTTAGATATGTCAATAACTATTCAGGCAGCCACATGATCTAAGCTTCTGAGTGTAAACAGCCCAATGTACACTGAGTTGTTTAAGATTAGGCTGAAGCTTCCATACCTAAAAATGATGCAGGCAGGTAAGCAACCAGGACCAGGCTCTTATCTGAAAGATCCCTTCAGGAAATAAATAAGAAGGAACTAAGTCATTAAGGAAACAAAGGAAAATTTCACCTAAACCAGACAAAAGAAATTGGGTTTGAGCACTTGGGAAACCCCTCTCCAAATTCCATCAGAGCTACCACACTTGTAAATCAACAAGGTAAGAGTAGCAGCCAGTCTTGTGACTCAACAAAGCAAGGACTTTGGGAGATAAAAGACCACCCATTCTTGGAGTGATTTTGGATCCAGATGTAGCACCTTTCGTTCCTCTAGTTAGTGCCTACCAGCAGAGTTGAGGCTAACTGTGGCGCTGTGTGTGTGTGTGTGTGTGTGTGTGTGTGTGATACATACACAACACACGTGTGAAAGGCATGTGATACACACACACGAGATGGTGTGGCTCAGTGGCTAAGATGCTGAGCTTGTCAGTCAGAAGGTTGGACAGAGTGAGCTCCCATTACTTGTCCCAACTTCTGCCAACCTAGCAGTTCGAAAGGATGTACAGAAATGCAAGTAGAAAAATAGGGACCACTTTGGTGGGAAGGTAACAGTGCTCCATGCGCCTTCAGCGTTTAGTCATGCTGGCCACATGACAGAGAGAGAGCTTTGTTCAGGTATTTTCCCACGTCATTGTAGTTGTGCTTTTAAAGTTGTAGCAACGTTTCGGCAGAATCTCATCTGCTATCATCAGGCTTCTGTGTTGTGTTCGGCTGTGAGTCAGACTTTTACAGTGGTTTCAGTTTTAAATTTGGGGCTAGCCTACTGTTGTGCCAGAATGGTTTTTTCTTCATCCTGATTGGTGGGAGTCTTGGTCTGTGTTTATTGGTCTTGGAGTTTATTGTCTTCTGCTTGATTGGTGTTTCTAATATCTTCTGTCTGTTTTGTGGCTTTTTTGTGTCTTGATTGGCTGGCAACATTGTATTCCTGAATTGGAGGCTTTTAGCGCAGCTTGGCTCCGAGTAAATGGACGGCTATCATTTGTTAGGAAGCTAGGTTTCATCTGGGTGCCTGGTTGGGGTGTGTTTGAGCTGGAGGTATCAGAGGGGATCTATTTGTGCCCAGGTGTTTGCCTGGCTAGTGGTGTGGAGATTTTTTTGTTTGTGAGTGCAGGCTTCCAAATGATTGACTGTCTGGTGGAATCTTCTATTCATGCTTTCAGGTCTTTTTTCAATCTCTATGGCTTCTCTGATAATTCTGTGGCTGGGGTTTTCTATAGTGGCTAGGGTTTTGGTGCCATTGAAGTTGATGCTATGACCTGTGGCTTTCATGTGTTGGGCTAGTGAAGAAGTGTGTTCCAGCTTTTTTACTGCATTTTTTTGTTCATCCAGGCGGGTACTTATTCTTCTATTGGTCTGTCCAATGTATGTGGCCGGGCATGATGCACAGGGGACTTCGTATATGCCTTGGTTTTCCAGGTCAATTTTATCTTTGGGGTTTCTAAGGATGGCTGCTATTTTCTGTCTGTTTTGAAGGCAGTCTTGATGTGATGCCTGTGTAGTATCTTACTGATTTTGTCTGTAGTACCTTTTATGTAGGGCAGGACAGCTGTTCCATAGGACTGTTCATCTTCTAGGTCTCCATTATGTCTCAGTGTTTTTGTGGATCAAGCCAGTGATTTTGCTTTTGTGGAAGCCGTTGGCTGTCAGTACTTTAGTCAGGGTGCATAGTTCAGTCTTTATGTGTGTCTTGTCTGCCAGGCGTTTGGTTCTAGTGATTAGTGTTTTGGCCACGGAGTTTATCTGTGCTGGGTGGTAGTGGGATTGGGCGTTGAGGTAGCGGTTGGTGTGTGTTTTCTTCTGGTATATGGTGTGTCCTAGTGTGCTATCTGTTTTTTTGTAGATTAGTACATCTAGGAATGGTAGTTGTTTGTTTCCGTTTCCATGGTGAACTTGACTTTGGGGTGTGTGCTGTTTAGGTGTGTTAGGAAATTGTTTAGGTTTTCTTTTCCATGGGGCCAAATCACGAATGTGTCATCGATGTATCTTAACCATAGTTTGGGTTTGTGGGTGGCATTAGCCAGGGCTCTGGATTCGAATTCTTCCATGAACAGGTTTGCAATGACGGGTGACAGTGGTGATCCCATAGGGGCTCCTTCAATTTGCTTGTATCAGGGTCTTTAGCCTAATTGTGTGTGTGTTTGCACGCTCACGCTCGGGTGTCAGCACCCAGAAGCAATGCTCGCCCCCCCATGCCCCCTATGCATGCACACACAATCCCCACCCCTACCCCTTTACCTGCACTGAGCCTCACAGCTGATTTTTGGGCGGTTTGAGGCCTTTTACGGCCTCCCAGAGGCTTGAGGAAGACTTCTGTAAGCTTTGCAGGCCAAAAACTAGGCCCGTTTTGTCAGTTCCGGTATTTCTGGAAAAACAGGAAGTGATGAAACGGGCCTAGTTTTCACCCTGTACAGCCTGTAGAAGCCAGCAGAAGCCTTCCTCAAGCCTCTGGAAGGCCAAAAAAGGCCTCAAACCTGCTGAAATCAGCTGTGAGACGCGCTCATGCGCAGTGAGGTAAGTTTGCCTGCAGCTCACATGCCGGCACAAATGGCTCTGTGTGCCACCTGTGGCATGCATGCCATAGGTTCGCCATCATGGGTATATACATTATAACCAGTATAGTTTGCTGTTATTTTAAATTCACCAAGTCTCTATGTATTCTAAAGAACCGTTTGTGGATCAGCATTCAATTGAAGATGATTTGAGTGTAGCTATTTTCTAGGGCTGCATGTGAGTAAATGACCATAAACCGAACCCAGGAGGTCTCATGCAACAGTAACATACAATACATGAAATGACAAAAATATGAGAGTAACCACATGTAATGACTATTGATCTATGGAAGGTAACTATGCAGTAACTGTGAGAGGGATCTTGGAGTCTTAGTGGACAATCAGCTAAATATGAGCCAGCAGTGTGCAGCAGCAGCCAAAAAGGCTAATGCAATCCTAAGTTGCATTAACAGAGGGATACAATCGAGATCAAAGTGAGGTACTAATACCACTCTATATAGCCTTAATAAGACCACACCTAGAGTACTGCATCCAGTTTTGTTCACCACATTATAAAAAAGATGTTGAGACTCTAGAAAAAGTGCAGAGAAGAGCAACCAGGATGATTAGGGGACTGGAGACTAAAACATATGAAGAATGGTTACAGGAACTGGTCATGGCTAGTCTAGTGAAGAGAAGGACCAGGGGAGACATGATAGCGGTCTTCCAATATTTGAGCGGCTGCCACAGAGAGGAATGGGTCAAGCTATTTTCTAAAGCGCCTGTAGACCAGACAAGGAATAATGGATAAAAACTGAATAAGGAGAGATTTAACCTGGAAATAAGGAAAAACTTTCTAACAGTGAGCACAACCAATGCCCTCGGAAGTTGTGGGAGCACCATCACTTGACACTTTCAAGAAGAGATTGGACTGCCGTTTGTCAGAAATGGTGTAGGGTCTCCCACTTGGACAGGGAGTTGGACTAGATGACCAATAAGGTCCTTTCCAACTCTGATTATCTGAAGGAACAATTCGCACAATGGCTGCACTTGTGCAAATGCTCTAATTATTATGGCCTTTTGATACTATTCAAGCTAGAGTGACTGCAAATTATCTTCAGAGCTATAGATGGAACATCTTTATATTTGGAAGACCCGCAGATTCATAGTCACTATTGAGATTTAGCCTGTCCTTCTAATTGTCTAGGGAACCAGATCAAGACTTCCACCATATCACTAGTCTTGTTTAACATATTGAAAGATCTATAGCATAATAGTTATCTATAGCATAGATCCACATCCAAGCTATGGAAATTCATGGGTGACTCTGAGCCATACACTTTCTTACAGTCCACCCTACCTTACAGGAAAAAAAGATGGATGACTTGATAAACACAAATCTATCAAATAAATAAATAGGCAGCAACCTTAAAACCAGAGCCCAGAATTATAATGATTACGAATGTCTACAAACTCAGTGCTATTGCAGGGCATTGTTTTAAATATATAGTTGTGTTGGTTGTTTTGATGTTAATATTTGTTTCCTGGGTTTAATTTAGTTAGATTATACCTTGTACCGGTAATTATTGATTTTTTTTTTGTTTGTACTGCATCTTGGTAAAGGCATGTATTAAATATATTAAATTCCTAGTACATTTCATGGAGTAAATGCCAACAAATACAATGATACTTTTGCATAGGAATAAACAGGATGGCACTTTTAAATGATTCAGCCTGGAGTGTAATAAACATCCTGGAGGGCACTGAGGCAAATGAAATCTACTCCCCTTGTTAACCCTTAACATTTGGGAGATTGAAACCTGAAAAATGAGGTCAGCATTTAAATGTCACCTTTCATTAACTATATTGGCATGATACATTTACTTATGAGCAGCCAAACCATGCTTAAGTCACGAAATTGAAGTTGTGAAGTTGGGCAAATTAGTTTACACAATATTTTTGCATCCTCTGAATCTAGTCAGCATCTTCGGCAACATAAATGTAACTTGGTTCTGAGTTACAGTAAAAAGAAAGAAAGAAAACTATAAAGAAAAAAAAATCCCTTTTTTCTTTTATTTTTTTCCTTCCACTTTTCCCTCTACTTTTTGTATTTTTTAGCTTGTATTAGGTTTTTAGTCTTTGCATTTTTAAACTGTAACACAGTTTATTTACAAAAATAAAAGTAAATTAGTGACAAAACTAAATATGAATTATGAACTAAAAGGAACCAAAGTACAGGACAGCAATAAAGCAATTATTTATCCAATTCTGGGAGACAGATTCTTAAAAGATAAAAAATATCTGTCCCATGTATAGTACTTAAAAGAAAACAAAAATCTACAAAAAAGTACCCTCATTATTGCATAATAAGCAGGATAAAACCACTAGATTCCTACTGAAAGAATCTTTACAGGTTTTTCCAAATTAAGTTCATTTCTCTCTCCCCAATACAATTATCTGGAGTCTACAGTTTCAATACAGAAAGGGTTGTTTTTTTAAATACAACGCACAAATATTAACGTAAACTTAAAAGTCAGAATCGAAGCGCAATTTTCCAATTAATGTCATAAACCTGCGGGGCTAGAGAGCAGCTTCCCCTTTCCCAGAGTCCTGGTGTTTTATCCTCTCCAGTTCTAAGGGAACATGGCGCCCTCCACCTTCCCTGGCAAGGAATGATGGGAGTCGCAGACCCCTTCATCTGGAGGGCGCCAAGTTGGAGAAGCCTCAGTCGATAAAAATCAAACAAGCTT